TCTGTAGAAGCTGCCCAGCGCGGCGTGATGTGTTGCTAATAGGTCTGTCAGTGCGATGACAGTTTGGGAGGGGGATCTGTCCTGGACATCTCTTTGCAGACTTGTCACCGGCACGTCGCCCATGTGGCAATATAAACACATTTGGATCTTGTCACAACTTTCTGAGCGGCATAAACAAGGTGACCGCGCAGAGGAAAGGCAATTTACTGTACGGGAGGAGAAGGGGAAAAATGTACGAGTGTCGGGAGATGACAAATGGTCGCGAAACATTTGTAAGAAGTTGCATCGCGGAGTGTCATCGGGGTAAAGAATGTGTTTGCGAATAGTGCTCCATAAACAGAGATAAGAGTGGACACTGGCCGGCTTCATCTTCACAAGTATTGCATCACTCCAGGCCTTATAAAGTTTAAGACTAGAACTCCCCGAGCAGTCAATTTGACAGCTTTTTGTTTTGATAGTGTAATTAATCAGCGTAAGTACACTTTTTTCAAATTTATTTATCTCTACATTATTACTTTCATTTCTGAAATGTGAGGAGTGTTTTTAAAGTCACTTTTATAAAAGTAGTGAAAAAGTAAAACTGTGTTTTGAGATATTTGCAGTGTTCCATTGATTTGAATGGAAGCCATGAAAATGACTGCTCTGGGAGTTCTAGTAGTTTCAGAATACTGGGAGCTTTAGTGTTAACAAACTGTGTGTACATTCTGTTGAGTTGCTAATTACACTTTGATTATACACATTTTTGGGGTGAAAAACTCGCGCTATAGGCGCGAGGCAGAAGGGTGTAATTACAGTGATGACTAAGGGTTTGCTCATTTCGCCTGATTAGGGGATTTGTGTGTTTATCGAGGTTGCGCATCTAGATATTAAAAACCACACAAGTCCCCCACACAAAGGTATTAGGGGTGATTGAAAGCGATCATTGAATGCATAGTGAATTTAGAGCCTCTGTAATTAAACAGGTTAGAGGTTGGGTAGCAATCCGAGCTACCACCCAGTCCTCCCAGCAGCAGCCCCTCACTCATCCTCCTGCAGCTGGTGGTCCACAGGAGGATGGCTGCTCCTCGGTCTTTCAGCTGGGGCTTCAGGAAAAGTGGGGTTAAGTGTCTTGCCCAGGAACATAATGACAGCAGACTTCATTGAGAGCAGGTGAGATGACCCACCCCCGCCCCAGTAAAACCATCAGTGTGATTTTAAAACACATCCCCTCTCTGTCTCTATTCTTTCATCCAATCACAATATGACACAAGTCACAGTGAGACAAACTCGGAAGCTCAGGAACCATTGACCTCAGACCAAGATTCAGAGATCTCATGTGCACGGCAATATGTTGTGCGGTCAAACAGGATGTGTAGTGCTCCGGGTTCTCCCCCTCCCCTCCTGTTCCATGGCCAGATGCAGAGTATAAACCTGGAAGTGTAATTACTTTGCTTATGTCAATTTTTGGTCTTCATAACGTCTTAACCTTTTCTGTATCTAAATGTAGTTTATATCTATGTAATAATTTTGTTCTTACTCTCTTACCAAGGGACAGCGCCAAGCCATTGGTTTCGATATATAGACGATACATGGGTTAAGTTAAAGAAACAGGAAGTGGAACCATTTTCAGAACACATTAATTCAGTGGACCCTTTTATAAATTTCACTTGCGAGGATGCTAAGGAGAGTGAACTCGCATTTCTAGATTGTAAGGTCATCATACTGGAGAACGGACAATTAGAGACTGAGGTGTTCAGAAAGTCCACTCACACTGACCAGTACCTGGCCTTTGATTCAAATCATCCGCTACAACACAAACTCGGGGTCATTAGAACGCTTCAACACCGAGCCCACCAGGTCCCCACAAGCTGGAGGGAAAGAACAGAGAAACCAAACATGTTCAGAGAGCACTTTCCAGATGTGGCTACCCCAAGTGGTCTTTTACTAAAGCCCAAAGGACGAGAAAGGCCGAGAAAGGCCAGAGACACAGTCCAACTAGGGATGTAAATCGGCGACCGTTTAACCGGTGGTTGACCGTCACAGCGTTAACCGGTCAAAGCTGTCGGTTAAAAAAAGAGAAAAAGGGGAGAGGGGAGGTCTCTTAATAACGCTATTTTAAGCCCTATTTGCACGGTGTGACGAGCGGGTCTGTATCTAGCTGTGTGCGCCAATGTATTATAAACTCCGGGACGACTCTCACGCCGCACGAGCCACATATGCACACACGCACACACACACACACACACACACTTTCCCCCTCTCCATACGTAACATCCACACGCATCATCTCTCCCCTCTGTTACCGTCAAAGTTGCACACTGGCGCGGGTCAGAACTACATTGGAGCTTACATTTACACACACACACACACACACACACACACACACACATACATACACACACACATACCGGTCTGTCGCGCTCCTCTGTGTCATGGAGCCCAAAGGATTCGCGCAAATACGCGGCTCCTTTGGGAGCCGCGTATTTCCCCTACATGTTTTGCTGTAGGGGAAACATGTTTGTGTTTATGGTCCTCGGGATCAGCTCCACACACATCACTTGTATTTAAACTTTTGTGAAGACCTGTGAGACGCGGCTCGTCACTCGCTGCTCTGACCATGTGAACGAGCCGTCGTTTGCTGCTAGAAAGTTTTGGTATTAACCCGCAGCACAGCAGAATGGGAAGATTAAGGCCTGTTTCACACCGCACACGAATTCGTGAACGAATTCGTCTTCGAAACCCGTTCGCTTCAAGTCGCGTCCTGTTGTGCAAATGAGAAAGCTCTTCTGTGTACAGACCGGCGCTGAGGCGGCGCGCAGGGAATCGGTGCGCGCCGCTGCGGCCTCCGCTCCTGAAACCAAAAATGGAACTCGAGCGCATTTTTTCCGCGTGTAGGCTGCGCAGCGAAGCGGCTTTCAGCACGAAAACATTCGAAAAATAACTTTTATAAAGCAATTTCACGTTTATCTAATCTCATTATTGTAATGCATAAGTACATATAAGTTTATTCTTTTAATTACACAATTTTCCATGTTTTTTTATGCATAAAATATAATTGTAACATATATTATATATATATATATATATATATATATATATATATATATATATATATAATAATAAATATATATATAATAATAAATATATATATATATATATATATATATATATATATATATATATATATTATAATTATAATTATAACCTAACCTTAACCCCCATGGAGATCCAGGCCTTCCCCACACCTAACCTTAACCCCCATGGAGATCCAGGCCTTCCCCACACCTTATAATTAACTATGATAATGATACGACAATCAAAATAGGCTATAAGATACATTATAAGGAAATGTTAGCAATTTATTTAAGGTCTACATGTGCTATTTTGATTTCTGACCTGTTATTTCAGACAACATATGTAAATATACAACATTTTTATTAGTTTGGAGTACAATACTACTCCTTTTGTGCGTGCTACTCGTCTAGGCGCTTCGCCCACGCTCGGCGTCAGTCTGAATACATGCGCTCGCCGCGAGGTAGTTCGGCTGGAAAGGGCGCTCTGCTCTGCGCTCGGCGTGCGGTGTGAAACAGGCCTAAAACAGCAGTTCTTTGTGCGCAAAGGTGCCGGAGCTGTTGCGGGTTTGGGCGCCGCTGTCTCAACTCTGATCCAGTAGAACGCAGAGCTGCACTTATGAAAAGTACGCGGCTCGAAATGGCTGTTATTTCAAAGAACGTGGACTATTTTAAACTACGCGGTGAAAATTCATAGTTTTTTACATCCCTAAGTCCAACAGACAGAAGAAAGTAGGAGGAGAGGGGTGTCCTTACCGTATGTGGCGGGAGTTTCAGAGAAACTACAAAGAATCTTTAGGCAACACAAAATCCCTGTGTATTTCAAACCTCTCAACACGTTAAGACAGAAATTAGTGCATCCTAAAGACAAAACACCCAGACACAAACAGAGCAATGTGGTGTATTCAATTAAATGTAGTGAAGAGGAGTGCACTGACCACTATATTAGAGAAACTAAACAAACTCTACAGAAACGACTTTACCAACATCGTAGAGAAAACTCTAGTGGGCCACAGTCGGCTGTTCATCTCCACCTCAAGGCCTCCAACCACACGGTGAATGACACAGAGGTCAAAATTCTGGCTCGGGAGAAGAATTGGTTTGAGAGAGGAGTGAAAGAAGCCATTTTTGTGAGGAAACAAAAACCTTCTCTTAACAGAGGAGGAGGGTTAAGATTTGTTTTGCCTCGCATCTATGACGACATCCTAAAAACAACGCCCTAACTTGGGACAAGGTCAGTGACATGCTAATGAGTTAGGAGGGGTGAGACCTGCACTCCACTTGAGCATCCCAGCAGACAATAGGTCTGTGACATGCTAATGAGTTAAGGTCGTTAGCCTCAGCAGGGTCGTTAGACCTGCTCCCTTCTACATCAAGCAGACCTTAGATTGTTTATGAGTTAGTATCAGGATTAGGGTGTGGCTAACCACACCCATAGGTTATAAATCTCCAACGCGCGGTCCGAGAATTCATTCAAAACTTGCTAAGAAGTACAGATGATGGGTGAGAAACCGTCCTTTGCTTTTTCTATGTAATAATGTTTATGAAATAATCTCGACCCAAGACTGTTTCAGACTGGTTCAGAGCAATCTCAGCTTCAGAGCAATCTTAGCTTGAAGCAGTTAGTATTAATTGTTGATGTATTTCAGTTATATTAACGAGTTTTAGCATGTTTTAAAGATAAAAATCATATGGATGAGTAGGGAAAAGTAGGGAAAAAAATGAATAAAAAATAAATGTTTTTCTTTCAGAATTCCTTTGACATGAATTGGAGTCCTAGTGTTAAAGAATAATTTATAAAGTTTAAATATAAAGAAGACATCCATTACATTTAATGAACATGGGAACATGGGACAATTACAGTTTATCTTGTCCCATACAGTAAAGACTCCACAAAGATCTGAAAGCCTCACTGATATTCCCTTCTGTTGTCATGGAGACCAGACCCACCTCTCGGTCCAGGCCGGGCGCCACGGTGACGATGTCTCCGGTCTCACTGTTGATGGTGAACATGTTGGGGATGGGGCTGTGTGGCGTCTGGGACAGGATCCGGTAGCGCACCATGCCGTTGGCCGTGGTGTTGTCGTCTGCGTCAAATGCAGACAGATGCATCACGTACGTCCCTGAGAGGAGAAGGGAACGCCACAGAGTGAGTGGTGGATCGTTAAACTAGACAAGTTTATTTGTATGGCACAAATACACAAGCCAAGGCAACTTAAAGTGCTTAACAAAACTAGATAGAAACAGTCACACAAGGCATTCAAATCATAAATAATAAAAGTGCATTAAAAACCAGTGGGGATACAATCCTTCAGTTGTATGCACAGCAAAAACTGTTTTTGACCTGGATTTGAACATTTAATTTGAAGCCTCTCTCACATTCTCAGGAAGATTGTGTTAAAAATCTTTTTGCTTGGTCCATGAATACAGAAAGAGGCTTTAGTGAACAATTTGTGAAAATTTAGTGAACATGCTGTCTTGACTTGCTAAAAAACATGATAGGTTTTTTATAATGGTAAAGATCCCTGTGAGTCACAAATTGGTAACTCCAGGTAACTGGGTGAGTGAGAGTGGTCCCTTTATTTACCCCAGCTTTAAATGTGACCATGAGTCTATCTCTGGCAATTCATATTTCTTAAAAATTTGGTAATTATTAGAAATGAAAAAAGATTAAGATTAAGATATCCTTTATTTGTCCCACAGCGGGGAAATTTCAGATTTTAAATAAGAAATGTATGTATGTAAATAGGTCTGGCATGCGCCTCCTGTACTGGCGACCCTGCTCCCATCTCTGTGTGGAGGGAGAGACAAATTCCCACAATTGTAAACCGCTTTGTGACTCTGGTCTGTGAAAGGCGGTTTATAAAAAAAAAAGATTACTTACCTACTTACTACTTATTTAATAAAACCATATATGAATGAATGAATGAAATATTTATTTCAAAACCTACACACATAATTTTACAGGAAACAAGAAAACAAAAGCAAAAACACGTACAGGGATTGACAAGGGGTTGGAGGAAGCATTATATGTTTATAATATGATAAAAACATTGATTTAATATATATAGATATAAAAAATAAAATTATAACATAAAATTACTAGATGAAAGATCTATATTGCATCTAGCCTAACAGTAGTACAGTATCTGCCACTTTTTATTTTTCTACTTCTATTTTTCTTGCCTTACATCACTAGTACCACCATTACACAACACACCATACACTTCTCAACACAACATACAATTCTACAACCAATGTCACTGATACAAAAGCTCTCTGTATGAAGCCCATAGATACTGCAGCTCCTCAAGCTTATGAAAAGTTGCCTCCACATGCTGAGCCACTTCTGTCACAAAGATGAGGTTTTGATAAAGATGTTTTTGTTCTGAAGAATCACAAGCCATTGGACTGAACCCACATTCAGTCCAATGAAAGTGTTTAGAGAACTGCCAAATACCTCAAGGATACATAGTCTAATTTGGAATTAGGGAATAAAGGGGGGTACAAACACAGGCATGTGCATCAAAATAGTGATAGAACTAAACAGTTTAAGATCAGGAAGCATTTAAGGGAGTAACAGTTTGAACCCAGGAAATGCAATAATAACATTGAGGCATTGGTCCAGAGGGACCCAAAAAATTAGAGAAACCTTGAGGAGGCCCGAACTCCCACGAAGGGACGGGCTATAGACACAAGACTGAGGACTGAGGTTGTGTGGTGCAGTCGACTAAAGGAAGCAACAGTTATAAAAAATTGTAATAAGACCAATTAATTTCCTTTGTAGAGAAAAACATTGGTTTAAAAGGCCAAAATGGCTTTGTCTATGATGTCATGGTCTGGAGTTTCTCAACTGAAACAGAATAAGAACATAACCTTATAAAATCTACTAAAATCAACGCAAACATTATGAACAAAGTAACTCCAACATACTCTGGAATATACACATACATGAAATAATCTTTAAAACAATTATATAATCCTTGTATTTCATATTGAGTGCTGCAAACCTAGCTCACAGATATGCAGTAGTCTATGATGCGCACTTGGCTGAAACACCAAAGCTCTCGTCTTCAGTAGGGGCATTGTTTGCTGCCTCTTTCCTCGCGCTCATAATACTCTGTCCGATGATTGGCTGTCACCCAGAGCCTGCCATCTCCCCAGACGCCTCGCTCTACCTCCGCTGCAGCCGCCTCTAATTACCACAGATAGTGATATCATGGCGGTGACAAGGCCTGTCCGAGGATAATTGTTAGCACGGCTCCCATTTCAAACTTCATTACATTTCAAAGCAACATTTGTGGATGACTGGGCCGCGGGGAGCAGTCTGAAGGACCTCTCACTGCCACTGGTGAAGGATGCTGCCATCAGGAGAGGAAGAGGACGAGGAAGAGGACGCCCTGTATTTGGGATGTTTCCAAGCCAGTCTCTCTGCGTTTGAGGGCATGGAGGATACAAGCTTTGAACTGAAGTTAAAATAAAAAATATGATGTGGTATTTGTGTGCCAAGTCCCAAGAAGTTCAGAAGTTCTTTGTTTATGACCAGATTTATGTGAAAAAAAAATCAATATATGTATTCATAAGCAAATTGTTTATGGACAAGGAACTATAACTCATAGGGGAAATTTGTGATCATATGGCATAACCAGGGGTGGCTAATGAGTCAAATATACTATAAATTATAAAGCTGGTGTACCACAAGAACTTTTGTTTCATAATCAATACATTTGTTCACCCAAATGAAAGAATTTTGTGGTGTGGGTTTTTGACAAATCATTCCATCAAGAATATTATACAAAAAACTTAAAACAAAAAGGAGAATGTTTTTGCTAATAGCACGGATCGTTTATCAGGCAGACAGCAACAGTCCCACTTAATGTTGTGGTTATCTGAAAGTTGAAGAAAACTAATCGACAGACAGTGAGGGGAACTATTTTCCTCTGAGAAACTCTGGTCGTGTCGTTTATGTAAAATTTCATGTGAATATATTGGTGTTGTGTTTTGTCTTCCTCGTGTGGTTGTCAGTTTTGTGTTTCAGGCTTGGCTCCTGTGGGGTGTGGTCTACGAGCAGGTACAGCAGCAGCAGCTCATTCCTGCGATACAAAGACTTGATCTCCAGTCTGTAAAAAAATCTATAATCACTATTCAAGAATAGTGATTTTAGATTTTTTTATGTTTCTAGTTGTCCATTGCCTGCTCAAAGCCCCTCACAGGACCAAGCCTTGCTCCAGCCACCCCTGTTGCACTTTTTGTCAATTCAATATTTGTATTGACCTTTCGGTGTCTGCTTTCAGGTCCACACCCCAGAGGCATATATCCTCTCGCTCTGGCGGGACGGTGTGCATGACGGCGCGGCACAATGCGTCGCTCATCGCTGGGGTAATTTCATTAAGCCCCGCGCTCTTAAGGGCTTTAATGTGGGCCCTTTGTACGGGCGTCCTAAGCTGCGCCTGACAGGATTAGGCCTTCATAATGACGCTTTAATTTGCAAACTAATTCAAGTCTGTAATTGGCCTTCCATTGAAACCGCTGGAGCTCTAAATTCTCAAAGTCCTTTTTCTAATGATCATTGTTTGGATAAATGTCAAGCGCAGCACATAGACGTGTCTGGAGCTGCGGGAGGCCAGAGTGAAGAGACTGATGGAGACTAAAGGAAATCAGAAATACATGTATGTGAGAACGAGTGGTAGCATCAGACTGTTTTGAGAGCGAGAAACTAGATGGATGTGTTTTTTTAACATTTGCACTATCTCTTTTGAGCAAGAAGGTCCCTTCAGACAGGGTCTTGAATGGAGTTTGCATGTTCTCCTGGTATCTGGGTATGTTTACTCTGGGTGCTCCAGATTCCCCTATAACTAAAATTATACACAATAACTCCCCTCCCTTTGGGGCTAGGCCTTCCCTGAAAAAGAGATTCTGAAATCTCAGTGGGACTGTCCTGGTTGTACATAGGTCAATAAAAAAGTGGTTGTGTCAAAGTTAGGTATAGCAGCTTAGAGGACACTATAATACAGGGTATGTCTATAGACCGTATATTGGGAGTGGACATAGTGTTTACCGAATGTGGAAGAAGCTGATTTGAGCATAAACTAGCTGATGGGCATCTGCAGACTAAATTCACGTGGGCTACCAAGAAAAATGTCCTATAGGACTCCATGTAAACTAAAACAGTTAACAGAGAACCTACAGCTTGCATAAAGGTCGGATATTGTGGGGATTTTAGTGTCTCTTGTAATCCTGAACTTTTGTTCTTGTTAAATCCTTCACTTTTCCATAAATCCTCACTTTAGTGCAACAAACTCTGCTCGTTTGGCTGCCACTCTAACGCCACTCTAGCTCCTGCGAATGAAAGTATCTGTAAATCCAAAAAAGAGCCATAAGCATTATCAAAACACAAATGTGGTCTTAAACCTGGGGGACAGGGCCTACGTCAGACATGATCTGTGGTTTTAAACCCCTGTTTTTTTGCTTTTTTTGTTTCATTTATTTTATTGGTATTTTCAGAACTTGATGTCAGGATATTTTAATACAGTTTTACCGCATTATTAATCAAAATCACAATTGATTTCTTGTTGTTCAGTTGTTTCGTGCACCACTTTGATGTTTGTTCATATAATGTGCTAACGTCAACCATTCTAACATGGAATGGTTGAAATGTGAAGGCGGGAGTGACCAAATAACCTGGGCTCTGGTAGAGATCTCCTCCAGTGCAATAAAAGGCTCTGGTCCACAAACGGCACGCACCAGTCACTCCAATGTCATTGTTTCCGCACCGAGGTGAGGCTCAAAATGACCCAGCGTGCTACAGCGTGGTACATTTAATCCCCAATCTCCTCAGCGCCATGTGGAGACTCTTTGCTTTATGGCCTTTGCTGCCGCTGGCTAAATGAAAAACCACTGGAGGGAACGTTTTCACCGACTGACTGCTAAATAACACCAATGGGAAACACTGAGCGGTTCTCTGGGCAAGTCGTAGCTGTGGCAACCCCCAAAACGACTGAGACATCACCGGCTAACAAAAACACATCCGGTAAATGATTTGGTCGAAGTTGCCATGTCGTCACCTTGTAGAGGCGATATTCTTTCTGCTACAATATCTCCACTCTCCTACATATCTGGAATTTGAGAGGAAAATATGTACCTGGTTTGGAGCCCTCATCCACGGAGCCGTTGTAGACCTGGTTTTTGAACTCTGGCCGGTTGTCGTTCATGTCGATGACAAAGATGTACAGGTCAATGGGGTTTTCCACCTGGTTCCCGTTCATGTCCACAGCATGAGCGCGCAGCTAAAAAGACATGGACAAAGAATATATGTTATAAAAATACTTGGCTGAAAGAAAATATGTAGAAATATGGTTAAGGCTTAAAAGATTCTAAGGGCAGACAAGGAGTTTGAAGAAGTTAGTACTGCTTAATTACAAAGGGGACACATTGACCACCATCAGAGACGACGGGGCCTTCACCTTGGCTCACACATGGGACTCAATCCTCCAGAGGCCACTGTGCGGATCTGCCTGATGGATCTACCCGATCTTTCAGACTGATCGTTAACAACAGCTGATCCGAGACACATCACACCCTCACGTGTCACCACAGACGAAAGCGATACCGCCCAAATGTGTGGTAATTAAAATAACCATCTAAGCCTTAAACATGAACACGACATAATTCACAGTTTTCAATTAGAAATATGGTTGTTGGATGGATTCAATGCAAGCTTTGATTCCCAGAAGTTACAATGCTGCTGAGAAAAAGTTTGGTCGTTGGTGACCGCAATTGTTATTTTAAGCTGTGCAAACATGATTTATATACACTACATACATGTTGTGTTACCATTAACTATTGTCTGATTTTACTTGTTTATTGGAGAGGCTAATTATTTTTTCAAAGAGTATGATAATTAATATTAGTATTAACCCAGACACCGCACACTACATTATTTTTGTTCACATTTTGTTCTTTGCTGTGTTGATGAAAAGCTTTTGTAGTGTTCATTCAAACTGCCCTGATGTGACCTGCTCTTGAGAAATATAGACACGTTCAAACTCTGGTGAAAACAACAGCTATTTCTCAAGGACCTCCATCAGTATTGCAGAAAAGACGAAAAATGCAGATTCAGACCACTCTTGTCTCAGTATACATGCAGACCATTCTAGTCTCAGTATACATGCAGATCACTCTTGTCTCAGTATACATGCAGGGTCAGACCACTCTTTGTATAAACATTAGTTTACACCCTAATGGGGTGAACTACAGTTATTTGACAAAAAATTTTGTCTTGCAGACACAGGTTCACAGCCTCATTTTGCACATTATTGCTGCTGTAATGGAGCAGATAATTAGATGTTCATAGATGTTTAACCATTTTCATCACCGAACACTTTCATTACAGTCATTATGACCCTTTTGAAACACTTACTGTCCTATCTCTATGTTGCAAAAGATTAGTATCACAGTGAAAATATCCAAATGAGAACTTGCATGGACAGACAGTATATTAAGCACAAATGTTGCATAGCTAAAGATGGACTTCTCTGTTACATGTTCTAAACCGGAAAAGGAAGATAAGGTTACACCAATACCAAAAACAATCTATTATTGTTCAAGGATACATGTTTAGTAGCCAGTGCTCATTGGCGAATGCTCAAAATTGGCCGCCCAAAACAATACTTTGAGCGTTTTCTCTAGTTCTGGTCCTCTCTGAGCATGTGCAAAAGGTGGGCAACAACTAGGGGTGGGAACCTAAGAGTACCTCACGATACAATACGATACAAAGCTCACGATAACGATATTATCACGATAACGATATCACGATAACGATTTTTTCACGATATGACGAGTATCGATATATTGGTCAGAAATATACAATATGCCAATTTATGGCATAAATAAAAGAAAAAATACACTTTATTTCATGATAAATGGAATGGAGATGCGTAATGTAGCCATATATTAAGTATTGATACCAATTCAAAAAAAACATTGTAACACACACCCCTAGTACGGCGCTTTCAGCGCCGTACTAGATGGTGTTGGTTTTACTCAGAATGTTGAGGAACCTACTCACATTCATAACCACACCTTGGACCTTGTCCTGACCTACGGCTGTGATGTCTCCAATGTTGACATCCAGCGTCAAAGCTCGTTGCTGTCTGACCATTTCTTGATCACGTTTGATCTCGATTTGGAGGACTTTCCTGTCCCGCAAGATAAAACCGTAATGAAAAGAACCTTAAATGATAAATCTATCACAAGGTACAAAGAACTAATACAGCCTATGTTGAATACTGCTGCAGGTGAACCTGTTCACAGCTGCTGCAGTCCCTCAGTCATTGACCAAACGGTGGACAACACTATGGAGTCTTTAAAATCTGCATTAAATGCAGCAGCTCCTTTAAAACAGAAAACTATTAGGATTAGATCATCGTCGCCCTGGTACAGTGTTCAACTCCACACTTTAAAACAGGACGTCAGAAAATTGGAGAGGCTATATCGCCACTCCCACTCGGAGCCTGTCCACAGGGAGTGGAAAGCAGGTCTCCGAAACTATAAGAATGCCCTTCACAGGGCTCGAACTCAATACTATTCAACTTTAATAGAAGCGAATAAAAATAACAGTAGATTTTTGTTTAGCACCGTCGCTAAACTCACAAACTGCCATAGCGCAATCGAGCCTAAAATTCCAAGCTCACTGAGCAGTGTCGACTTTCTCCACTTCTTTAATAATAAAATTACATCCATCCGTGACAAACTGGAGGAGGTTACTCCTGCTGTTAGTGGTGGACAGGCTGAAGCGGCATACGTGACTTCCCACTTAGACTCTTCAGTGGGCCTCGATAAATTCATGGCTGTGAGCCAAGCAGAGGTGATCTCTGTGGTCACATCCTCAAAAGCCTCAACTTGCATGTTAGACGCAGTCCCGACATGGCTCTTCAAAGACATACTTCCTTTGATAATTGAGCCTATCGTAAATATAATAAACGCATCCATACAATGTGGCTATGTCCCACAAGCTTTTAAAACCGCGGTTATCAAACCCCTTCTGAAGAAAACAAACCTGGACCCAGAAATACTTACAAACTACAGACCGATCTCAAACCTCACTTTTATATCTAAAATCCTGGAAAAACGTATAGCTGAGCAGCTTCGCTGCCACCTGCAGGAAAATAATATGTTTGAAGTCTTTCAATCAGGATTCAGAGCTCATCATAGCACTGAAACGGCACTAGTCAAAGTCACAAATGACTTACTACTAGCTGCTGATAATGGACAAGTGTCAGTGCTGGTCCTACTGGACCTTAGTGCTGCATTTGACACAATAGACCACAGCATTCTACTGCAGAGGCTAGAATGTGATATAGGTCTTAGAGGAACAGCCCTTGGCTGGTTTAAATCCTATTTATCAGATCGGTATCACTTCGTCAACGTAAATCAGAACTCGTCACCTTATTCTGGAGTAGAATTCGGTGTGCCGCAGGGTTCGGTACTCGGACCGATTCTTTTTACTCTCTACATGCTGCCATTAGGAAACATTATTAAAAAGCATGGAATTAATTTCCACTGCTATGCAGATGACACACAGCTTTATCTGTCGATGAAGCCAAATCAGACAGATCAGCTGGAAAAGCTCAGTGCCTGCATAAAGGACCTTAAAATGTGGATGACTCTTAACTTCCTACTTCTCAACCCGGAGAAGACAGAAGTGATCCTACTCGGTCCGAAGCGCCTGCGTGACTCCCTCGCTAACCAGATAATTACTCTCGATGGTGTCAGTATTGTACCCAGTGACACTGTGAGGAATCTTGGAGTCATTTTTGACCAAGAGCTCTCCTTCAAGGCTTATATAAGCCAAGCAACTAAAACGGCGTACTTCCACCTACGGAACATCGCTAAAATTAGGAATTTCCTTCCTAAAAGTGACGCGGAAAAACTCATTCACGCGTTTGTCACCTCAAGGCTTGACTACTGTAACGCTTTATTGGCAGCGTCCCCTAAAGCGTCTTTGAAGAGCTTCCAGCTCGTTCAGAATACAGCAGCTAGGATCTTAACAGGTACCAAAAGGAGGGAGCACATAACTCCGGTGTTAAAATCACTCCACTGCCTCCCTGTGGAGTACAGAATAAAGTTTAAAATCCTTCTCTTAACATATAAAGCCATAAATGGCTTGGCTCCTTCTTATCTCCAAGACACGTTAGTGTCGTATCAACCAGGTCGAGCGTTGCGCTCACAAAACGCCAGACGTCTGGTGGTCCCTAAGGTCTCAAAAATCACTGTTGGTGGCAGAGCATTTAGCTACCAAGCTCCTTTACTGTGGAATCAGCTTCCCATTTATGTTAAGGAAGCAGATACGGCCTCCACATTCAAGGCCAGGCTTAAAGCACTTTACTTTAATTTAGCATATAATTAGGTAATATATAATATATGGTGTATATATTATATATGTATGCTGTATTATGTTATATATTATGTTATATATTATACAATAATGTATTGTGTTATGTTGTATATTATGTTATATATTATGCTGTATGTTATGTTGTGTATTATTTATGATATATATGGTATGTATGGTATATATGATGTATATGATATATAATATATAATTAGGTTTGCTTGGATCGGTTTGCACACCTGGTGTGCAATCCATGAATCTCTTTATTCAAGGCTAGGTTTAAAACAGTCCTCTTTAGTTTAGTATATGGCTAGGAAGGTAAGACTCTGGGAAGGCTAAACTCCTCAGACTGTCAGTCAAGCTGCATAGGGAGTCAGTTTGCTGGGAGAAGTATGGTAACTTGAGCACTATCCTCTCCTCCTTCCTACTTTATCTACTTTATCTGTTTAGCACTTTTAGGATTCTGACTGTAGTTTGTTCATTGCTATTCACCCGTTGTCCCATTGTCTGTTTCATGGTACGATGACGGGATCTCTGAGCCTGGCCTCCTCCATCTGCACCTGCGGACTGCCCCGCCCGACCCGCCTGGGAGTGCTTCGGTCCTGCACCGGACCTGTCCACGTTCAGCGGCCACTGGTCCACGTCCTGTAGCTAGCTTAGGTCCTAGATCATTAGCCTGTCCGTCCGGAGGAGCGGATCCCTTTCTCATATGGGTCTCCCTCCCTGTGGGTTTCCCTAGTGCTCCCCAAGGTTTCTCACTTTTTCCCACTGGGTTTTTTAAGAGTTTTTCCTTGTCGATGCAGGAGGGTCTTGTTGGACAGTTAGTGTCCAACAGAAAGGATTGGTGATGATCAGGACACTTTAGCATTCTACAACATGTATGGACATTTTCTT